AAGAGGAGAGAAGCAATGAGAAGATACAGGATGAAACATTGCACAGCCGATGAAAGCTATCAAGCCATCAATTGAAGAAGCTTTCTGAAAACCAGGCAGGGTAACTACAAAGAAAACTCCTAGACACATCATCATAAAACTGCTGAAAACCAAAAACGATGAAAACATTCCGAAAGCAACCAGAGGAAAAAATATGCATTGTGTGTGTACTGTAATCGGAGCAACTGGTATTTCAGCAGGAATGATGGAAGCTGACAGATAGTGGAATAACACCTTTAAGGGGTTGAAAGTAAAAAGCTAGTCACTTTGAATTCTATATCTGCAAAAAAATGTAGCTATAGTTTGAATGTGTCCCCTCCAAAATGCAGGGGTTGCGAAGGTAATAGTATTAAGGAGGGACCTGTAAGAGTTAATTAGGCTATAGGGCAGCTCCTTCCTTGATGGAATTAAGACCCTTTTAAAAGAGGCTTCACACAGCATTGGCCTAGCTTGCTCTTCTACCATGTGTGGACACAGCCAGAGGGGCCTCAAAAGACCAAATGCCGGCACCTTGACCTTGGACTTCCCAGACTCTAGAACTATGAGAAGTAAATTTCTGTTCTTTACAAATTATCCAGACTGTGGTATTCTCTTACAGCTACACAAACCGACTAAGATGGTGTCATTCAAAAATAAAAGTGAAAGAAACACACTTACAGGCAATTAGAGACGGAAACAATTGGATGTCAATAAATCTGCATAAAAAGGAACACTGTAACATGATTTCTTCAAGAAGATGAAGCACAGAAATAAAAGAAGTGTAGTAAACAATTAGAGGGTAAAACTGGGGATAATTGTGAGCAATGACTACTATGTAATGTCTAAGACAACTACAATAAAGGCTTATGGCTTAAAATAGATGTTGAATTAAAAAACAACAGCCAGAAAGTGGGGAACAGAGGATCATTACATGAAATTAAAATGTTGTGAGGGCCCTGTGTGGTGACTGAAGAGGTTAAGTACTGATGTGGGGTAGACACAAGTGTGACAAAATTGACATTATTTCATTTTCAAAAGACATTTTGCGCTTGACCCCCCTAGCTCAGTGAGTAGGGTGCCAGCCACATGCAGTGAGGCTGGCGAGTTCGAGCCGGGCCCAGGCCTGCTAAACAACAATGACAACTGCAACCAAAAATAGCCGGGCACTGTGGCAGGCGCCTGTAGTCCCAGCCACTTGGGAGGCTGAGGCAAGAGAATCGCTTAAGCCCAAGAGTTTGAGGTTGCTGTGAGCTGTGATGCCACAGCACTCTACCGAGGGCGACATAATGAGACTCTATCTCCAAAAAAAGGAAAAGAGATATTTTGACACTTTCTACAAAACACATATTATTCTCAAGTACATCAAAACTGACCACAAGCTAGGCCCAAAAGTCAAGTTCCAACAAATTCCAAAAGCTAGAAGTCATAGAGAATATTATTTCTAACCACAATAGAATTAAGCCAAAATCAATGGAAAATCCTATTTGTAAACAAACTCCAATGCTTAGAAATGAATCAAGACACTTCTAAATACCCCATGAATCAAAGGCATTTCAGTGAAAATTAGAAAATATTTTAAATCAAATGACAGTGAAAATACGAAATATCAAAATTTGTGAGCTAAAGGTAAAGCAATGTAATAAGTAAAATCCACAGTGTTAGATGCAAGTTTTAGAAAAGAAAGGCTGAAAATTAGTTGAAGTTGGGGTTGGGGTTGATCTCTTCTTAGAACTCTAAGAAGTTCTATCCCAAGCAGGTAAAAAAGGAAACAAATTAAATCCAAAAAAAAGTAGAAAAGAGAATATGACAAAGTTAAAAGCATAAATTAATACATTATAAACAAGAAATGTTTAAAGAAAGCAACTAAGATAAAAGGTGGTTCAGGGAAGAGATTCAAACATTAGTAAGCCTTAGCAAGACAGAGTGTGAGAAAAATAAAAAAACAGAAGGCAACGAACTACATTTATTGGTAATGAAAAAAGGAACACTGATACAAATGTCACACACAATAAAAGATAAAAAGAAAATATTCCAAATGTTACACCAAATTT